ACGCCGACTGTGGTGTATTGCCTACCTCTTAAATCTGGGCGTGCTTCCTAGCAGCTTGCTGCGAGGATTCATAGAGCAATGTGTTTCAACGATAAAGACCGGATGGACTCATAGGCATCGTCAAATTACACACACATAATGATCTGAGTGGCTGGTCGTTATGCAACATTCACAGGCAGCGTATTCAATATTTCGACATGCAGCGTTGGCGCAATCCAAGCAGCTTAGGTACTGGTGGCAAGATTTGGACTTGATCAGGAAGTCGAGGCTGCGTTGACGCATGTAAGAGGCTGCCTTTAAACTGTGAAGTCCGTAAACTGGATTTGCCCGACATTAAGTACTCTCTGACGAGGGACTGCTTCCCGGAACTTCTACGGGACACACAAACAGGTTGCCACTCCTAACAGAGTCTTTGAATATTTAAAATCCGGGATTGCATCTGGAGTGACACACTGGGGTCGTACATAGAAGACGGACGCTACCGCCGGCCCCTGGTCCTCGATATACCTGTCCCTGTTCTAGAAGGGTCCGGTATAGGGCTGACGGGTAGATCATGGTAATCTCCAAACTATCAATCTTCTTGGGTTTCAAATACTGTGGTAGGGCTTTGCCTCAGTCCGATTCCCGCATGGCATTCCATGGTTGTTTGCGGGAGTGCATGCACAACTCTAGAAGTCGATGATGGAGAGAGCGTCAAGTGGATCAGCATATTACGTTCCGTCCCGGGTTTCCGCTCCGGGGAGGCCGGGTGTGTAATCCCTCATTTATTGTTTGCTCTCTGGGGACGCGCCTCGGTATCCACTTGCGCATGCCATGGTACTGTTTTGCATCGGAGACCGGCGAGATGCCTTCCTTTAAAAGCGACACGTCGGCAGAAGGAGGCTCAACACTGATGCTGTCCCAGGGGCGTGGGCAATGCTGACGACATGCCACACGTGGGCGTCAGCAGCGTCTAGGATCCCCTGTCGATCCTGTGAGGACCCTGATCAACAGCGGTATCGACCGGCGTCAATAGGGAGTGATCCTACCCCGACGAATGCCACTCGTGGCTCTCGAGGATCTACGTAGCTCCTTGGGGGGCCCTGACCAACTGACTCTTCTCTGGCCTGAGGATGTGTCAACGTTTTCGAAATACCAGTTTCATGAAAGGTCCAGAGGCCCAACATACGGAGAAAATACCGGTACCTACTCGGTATATCAACGGGACATCTTATCTCCACGTGATTTAGGCCCGCCAAAAAACTGGCGATTGCTCATCACGCAACCTGCAGATTGTCTTGCAAATGCTCCCATGTTCCCAGAAAGGACATGCCAAACTACCTGTTTTGCATTCTATCCCCTGAAGTCCCTGTCCAGGCCTGGTTACAATATACCTGCAGCTTCCACTCCAGATCTCGGGATCGGTCCCCGAATACCTAATCAAAATCTCGCCCGGGTCCAAAGCACCGGCACGGGGTTCCATCCGGCACACCGCGTCCGGAAACACCAGACCCTCCACGAATCGTCACCCCACGCGGCCCCATAGGAGGAGTCTTCCACACTAGTAACAAGTTAGGAGAGCCTGGAACTTGCTCTTGGATCAAGCCAGGAGAAGCAAACAGGGTTCATTTGCTGCGGGTGCATAATCTTTACGATACGAATAACTCTTGTCAACATCCAAGATGCTTTTAAACACGGCCATACCCGCCGTTGCGGCTTTCCAGCTGCCGCTGATTAGATTGGCTGCTCGTCGATCAAGCTTTGTGACGAGTCGTCAGGTTCGTCATTACGTAGCATCACCCAACCTAGCAGCACTGTCGTCGAGAGTGAGACCTGGACTGAGTGCTCTCTACACCAACACAAACACCAGTAAACAGTCATCATCAAGCATCGCAATCATGGGCAGCATCACTCCCCCGCGTCAGTTCCACGGCCCCCAGGGCTGGACAAGAATGTATTCGAGCGACCGCAAGTACGAGGCCGTAGTCGTCGGTGCGGGTGCCGGAGGTATCGGGGTCGTGGGCAACCTTTTGGACCAAAAGAAGGAGCCTATCTTATGGGTCGACGATTTGTTTGATGGTGGAAGACTGAACAAATTCTACCGAGAAGTACCTTCGTAAATCCCCCCCCCCCCCCTTCTTATCAGCGATGTGCCGATAAGCCTGGCTAACCCTTTCGTTAGGAATACCAAGCTCAAGTTCTTCACAAAATACGCCGAGGGCGTGGAATCATTCCGATCCGTCGCAAAAGAAGCTTCTGAACCAAACGCCATGAGCCATCTTCTCAGTCTGGACCAAGAGAAGACGTGTCACATCGCTCAGGCAGCGGATTTATGTCTCATGCTAACCAAAGGGTTGACTGAAGAGAAGGGTGTGTTCAAGCAGCAGGGCAAAGTAACAGACGCTTCATATTCAAATGTAAGTACCTCACCTCATCTCACCCAACTCATCAACAATTTGATACTAACATCACATCCTCCCAGTCAACATGGACAATCTCAGTATCTCCCACCAACTCCTCATCCTCACCAGTTCAAATCGACGCCAGCCGCCTCATCCTATGCACCGGCTCTTCACCCATCGAAGGACCGCTCCCCGCTTCCGTCTCACACCTCAATTCCATCCACCTCGACACCGCACTCTCCCCCCACAAAACTCTCCATCGCCATCCCTACCGACAAACCAGTCCAAGTGGCCGTCATCGGCGCCTCTCACTCCGCCATCTTGGTCCTCCGCAACCTTTCCAACCTCGCCACCTCCACACACCCCCAGCTTCGCATCAAATGGTTCACCCGCCACCCCCTCCGCTATGCCGAGGAGCGCGACGGCTGGATCCTGCGTGACAATACCGGTCTCAAGGGTGAAGTCGCCACGTGGGCGCGCGCAAACCTCGAGCCCGCTAAGCTCGCAGCCTCCCCCGTCGGGAAGCACTTAACGGCCATCACGACCTCGCATGCAGATGAGACAGAGACGTACACACGGGAGCTGGCAGACTGCCAGTACGTGTGCCAAGCGATCGGGTACAGGCTAAATCCTTTGCCGGAGTTGAGAGTTGAGGGGAAGGCTGTCACGCCGGTGTGCGATAATACGACGGGTGGGTTCACGGCGAAGGAAGATGGGGAGAGGTTACCAGCTTTGTATGGAGCTGGGATTGCGTTCCCAGAGCGGGTAACAGATCCAGAGGGTAATGTCGAATATGCGGTGGGCCTCTTCAAGTTTATGAATTTCTTGAAAAAGGTTACGCCTGGGTGGAAGGCGGGTTAGAAGCATAGGGTGGAACCTGGATACCTACAACGTTCTGGGCGAGGCAATACCTCGAGATCGGCATCATATGAGGCTAAGCGTTGTCATTTGCAGATAGAGATAGACTACCTGATAATTAGTCTGCCAGCCAGAAGAGAAAGATCTCCGGATTTACAGTGGTCAGGATGATCTATGCCAAACCAAAACTGACCATGTATTTGATATCATGTTGAGAGACTCGGAGTTTGTAATGGGCCACGCAGCAGGCCCGCAGGCCTTTTTCCATGGATCGCGATAGCTTCGTCCCTGCTTAACGCCGTAGACTGGTCGGTCGGAATATTCTGGACTGAGGAGTACTAAATGCTTCTTGGGTTGGAGAGCAGCGACCGACCTATGCGACATTCCCCATTGTATAGGTATCTGCCCACGAATCCTTCTTCGAATATAAAGAAAAGCCATCTCTCGTTCTCTGCGTCGGTTAAAGCTTGTCCGCCAAGCGAAGGGGCAAGGAAGCTGCAGAGTTTCCTTTCCAAGTCAACCAGTGACTATCTATAGTGAACAATAAGGCGATCCAGTCGCCTGGTAATATCACGAGCGAATTGTATTATCTAGTGACATTTGGCAGACAACAAACAAGAGTCGACTTCTTTGCTACAAGCAAACCCTCTTCTTCTTCTTTAACCTACATTGGAAGGCTTTAATTTTCTCCACATTTCCACGCACTCATATATCCATCTCTCGGACTCTCATCACTACGCACATATATATCACCAACTTTCAACCAACTGAAACACACGCGGTGCGTCAATGAAGCCATCAACATGCAGGATGAGTGGCCAGGCTCCGACGATGCTTCTACAAGGTGGCCGTAGTGTGTGCTATGCGACCCGCGGTCGACCGCGCTAACGGACTACCTGATTGCCTCACAGAGAAGATATTCAAGGCCGTAGATTGGTCAAAGATCGGTATCAGTGTATGGTGTTCCCCTGCATTGACCGAATTATTTGAAGATGGTTCGTGGGCAGGACGTTGAGATCAACTGGCTGGACGGCCTCTTCCAATAATCCACAGATGAGCCTCTAAGTTCGCCCGGCATCATGCCGAAAGCCTGCTACCGCCTCGCTAGCCGAGACCGTGCGACAGACGCTGGACGAAATGTCACCAACCCCAATTCGGTCAAGAATGCTTCTCTGCCACGGAATTTGCCTTGCTTGAGATGGAAGCTTCGCTTCGAAGGCAAGACCTGAGACCAATTTGCTACGAGGTTTCCTGGAATCAATGTGCCAACACTGAAGAAGGATGCCTCCCGAACCAAGCTCAATGTCGACACTAGTGGACGCATAGTACCTACCGAACTGAATGCAGAAAGTGGCCCGAGGACCACCAAAACGACCGACACACGAGCCCTAGAAGAAGAGTCTTCCGTTACGTATTCAAGTGTCAAATTTCTTCGTTGAGCATGAGCGTCGTCGATGCCGCTGAGCCTTGGGGTTGGCGAGTATATCGTCACGGTACGAGTGCAGGTGAGGGATGAGGGCCACGAGAGATCGTGGAGGTGAGGGCACGAGGTATAAATATCATAGGATGATAGAACTATAGCAAAATTGCAAGCTTATATGCTTATTCCTTTCCATGATGAAAGGTTTGGTTCGGTTTTTAAGTAGCTGGACGAGAAAAGAGAATGTTGACAATTGTTTTGCTGCCAGTGTCTTCATACCGAAGCGTTGCGTGTGGAGGTTACAATAGTGTATGCTGGGCACGCTTCTCAACAGCAAATCGGCCCTTATGGCGTAGTGGTAGCGCGTGTCACTTGTACGTTGTCTGAGATGATCACTTCATCCCAGACTATCCGAACTCAATGACAAGGCCCTCGGTTCAAACCCGAGTGAGGGCATTACATTACGTTTTTGTCAATCTCTTTTTGACCTTTTTATTGCTGCCTCCCTTTTTTTCTCCTTTTTTTTCTTGTTCCTTTTTGGTGGTGGGGGGGGGGGCCAGTGTTTTTGTGAGACTTGATGCGGGTGTTGGAGGGTCATTTGGCTGCTGTGTGGCCTTTCTGGCCTGAAGATTCAAACCGGTTCCGTTAGAATTTACTAGAAACAGGGGTCGAAGAATTGGTGTGTGTAACCTCGCCAAATCTCGAGCCCAAATAATAAAGAATTACCCCAGCATTTTCATACCGTTCTATTGATGATCAATTGATGGTCAATTTGAACGCTAGTTACAAAATTTGTGACTACTCACTATTACTACGCCAATCTCTGTTGCGGAGGTCTTCACAGCCACGCAATGCACAGCGTCGAATATTCAGATATTCAGGTAGAAAATTTGATATAAAAGGAAGCCACTGACTCATCATACAAGTATGCTGCAAAGCACTTAGGAAGTCAACAGAAGCAATGGGGCGTATTGGTATCTAGGTCAGCATCTGGCTATTCGGGCGGTGATATTAATGAACAGTCAAAGGGCGCTCTCTGAAATCTTGCCTAGACTTTGGCAATCATTATAGAATACCAAAGGACCAAAAAAAAATTAAAAAATTGGCTGATACTGTAAAAGAAGATGTGCTTGAGGACGGTGTAAAGGTTGAGCCAACAACGAGCAAGGCCTGATTCAACATGTCATGCCTTGCCTAACCAAGAACGGTGTGGTTTTGAACCAAGACCACTCACCATCGCGAACTCATTTCTACCAAATTTAGCGACTAAAAGCTGTTAGTATGGTATTAGCTGATGGGCCGGAGTACAGGACTAGTTGGCTGTCGTCTCTGGTCAAGTGCACGTGACTACCCAAATAGGTACATGCCATGTACATGAAGAGCAACAAATCAAAGACTGGTCTCCTCATTCATCTTGACGCTGTAAACATTCGTAGAAATGAATAATTTTCATTCACATTTCTTCGCCAATATTCGTGTTCGAACGCAGTAGGCCGTCCAGTCAAATTATATCAAATTGTCCCCAGAATATCGAAGACTCGAACAACCTTTCCAGGCATTGACTCGGATGATTCTTTAATCTCGCTCAGAAGCCGTTCCATGGGATTGTCCAAGGCCCTGAGCTTATAGCTGGAAGCGTCGGACTACCGGTTCATAGTCCAGTCTTTGCGTGAGTCGTCACCAAGCTATGAGACTTTGATTCACGTGCCAAAAGACCTAGCGTTACGAAACATGAGTGACAGATCCCCCATTCCATCTATAAATATTTCAATCCTCACGCTGTTCTATCCAGGAGTTTCCATCTAGTACTTTCACCTCGATACATCGATGCCAGAGACTCAAATACCTTGAACCTCGTTACATGTAGGTGATTCAATGAAAGTCAAAAGCACCAAATCGTCTTCGAAAATATCCGGCACGATGTCTTTTTTCACAACCCCAAAAGAGCCAACCTTTCACCGATTCGGGGACCTAGCCTCGGACCTGCAGTGCAAAATCATCGATGCCGCACTGCCTTCCACTCACGAAATGCAGGCCTATCGCAGAAAGCTCGTTAGCAGCTCTCGTTGGTACAAATCCTGCCAGCGGAAGACCATCGCAGAGCTTGCGCCTCTGAACAAGCAATGGCAAGAAAGGGTCGAACGGCTTCTGTTTCGCGAGCTCATGATATTCCAAGAAGACTTGATTTATTTTGAACAATTTTGTGGCACCAGACCGCGCTCCCAGCTTGTTCGATTGCTTGAAGTTGAAATCAAGCCTTCTCGGCGTCTTGAGCTGCGCCCTACAAATCATCGCCCAGAAAAGAAAAGGAACAATCTTCAAGTACCAGCTTTTACAGACTACGATTTATGCAACCCGCCATCATTTTCAACGCAAAGGATGAACGCCGGATACATGCTAAACAGGATTTTCCAAGTACTCAGCCGCTGGGACCGATCCCATCGCAAAGACAGCCATCTGTTAACATTGCATCTGAAGACATTGCCTCTTGATGAAGAGTACTGTAATTTTTCAACCCTCCCCAAACTGCCAGCTATTGGTGAATTCATCGCCTCCACTACCCCCATGTGGATACCACTACACCCGTCAATGTCGCTTTCTCTGATACATCAGATGCCTCGACTTTTCCACACCAACATCAACTTGCTAGGTGATAACATCTGCGTGGCTTCTGATGGGGATAACGAAAACCCTAAATCTCAAGGTATGTGAGTCGGTCGATGGACAGCCTTGACAAATACTGTCTACCTAAGTGTGCGAGGAAAGGCCCCTTGAAAGCTTCTCGAAAAGTGATGAGCACTCAACCAATGCTGATCTCTATAGATTCTACCAGCATACTTCGAAACCTTCCAGCCAATCTAGTTCGGCTTGGACTCCATGCTATCACTGATCTGGTCATTGTACCCAGGCATCACCAGGAAGCCATCAACGCCGCCCAGTCCATTTCAATTCCTACTTCGATCGCTGATTGCGGTAATCGCATGAACATGCTCACGCACTTGGACATCCTTGAAGTTGCAAACATCACATCCTTCTTCCGTCACCTCGCAGCGAAAAGGACAGTCAGCGGGGCTATAAAGTTATGGCCGAACCTACGTGTCCTGAAGATCTGGAGATGCTTTGCGGATGACAGGTTTGTCCAAAGTGTGGCGGATGGTGTGATCCTACAAACGCAACAGGACCGCCACGTCAAAGAGCTTTTGGCTAGTATACCGCAGGCGCTCGGCCAAATACCTCATTTGGAAGAGCTCCTCTTGGAGATCCGTACGCCCAACTTGCGCCCGAGTCCGCAAAATGCAACAAGACAATTGTTGGACCTGGCACTCGTGCGTTCACCAAGGCTCTACCCAGACACGCCACACATCTACCATCATCCACCTGGTGCAGCAGTACTTTACATTCGTGCTGAAAATGCAACTGAACAAGAAGTGGTAAAGCAGTGGAAATCTGCCATTTCCATTGAATGGTCAAAGAACTTGTTTGGATATCAAAGTAATCTGACACCACGTGGCTACCAATGGAGAGAGCCAAATAGCCAAGAAGTGGTGCGTTGGAAGGATGAGGACAGTGAAAGTGATGAGACCCAAGACCTAGCACTTCTAGCCGATGCGGATAGCGTCTACAGTGACTTGCCATACACTGAGCCGACATCCTCGGACCTAGGTTGCTTTCCAGATATTGGGAATGACGGGGCGTACGCCATTTCACGAAGATTCAGCAGGGCATGATGTACTAACGTGTTTTGCTTGCTATCAGCTTGAGTTGGTTGCACGTGGGCTACATGCAGCCGTGCACAATTGTTCTTACAAGAAAGACTTTCTCAGGACTAGCTCCGAGCCCCTCGAAAATAGATATGAAGCCATGAATGGTAGAGAATCATACTTGCGGTATTACCATTTAAGAGTTGGCTCTTTGAAAGAGAGTTTTGCTTCTTGGAAAACCCCTAAATTACCGGATATTGTGCGAGATTAATTGGTGGAAATGGGGATAGGGACCAGGACTGGGCTGCATAAATACAACGTTTTACTCAATTCCAGGTCAAAGCCGAACAAGAACATGACACGGCCCGTAATCCCAATAGTGGATGGCTGCGGGAGGCCACCCTCCGAATCATTTCAAAAATTCCTGCACTACTCTTATGATCTGTTGTCTACATGATATATAAAGTAGAAATGATAATACAACAATTATGAGCATCTTTGACATTTGCACAAATAGATCATTCACCAGTACTTCAGTGAAATGTGTTATTAGCCAAGACACTAAGAATACCTGGAAATGCCCGACTGCCTTTCCACCAAACTGGCGATCCTCGCCATCCTCGGGTCTTCCCAAGCCTTCCGCTTCCTCGGCCGTGTCAACCCAAGCACCCAGGAGCTATCATGGCCTGCCACGGGTCTCGAATTCAGCTTCAATGGCACCTCGGCGAGCGTCAATCTTGCTGCCATGTGGGGCACCAACAGCGTTGAAATGGTAGTGGATGGTGGTGCACCTATCGTCACGGACAACGTCGTGGCCAGCAGCATTGACACGCCCGCCAACCTGTCCGAGGGCTATCACACTGTGGAGATTCGCAAGAAATCCGAGGCACTTTACGGGAGTCTATATGTGGGCAACGTGACGGTCTCCGGAGGGACGCTGGGCGAGGTCGCGGCACCTGCAACACGCATACAAATCATAGGTGACTCGATCAGCGTCGGCTATGGATTGGATGGCACGTACCCCTGCGTGAACTCGGCCGCTCTCGAGGACGGACCCAAGACCTATGGTGCCCTGACGGCGCAGAATCTTTCGGCGGACTACGATATCATTGCATGGTCAGGGAAAGGTCTCATCCGTAACTACCCTACTGGCGAGGTAGACGACACTCCCATCATGCCGGAGCTCTGGACGAGATATGGCGCCAACGACGCCGATAACAGCTATACTTTCCCCGCGGCAGACACTCCGGATATTGTTGTCATCAATCTTGGTACCAACGACTTTGACTACATGCTCACCAACTCGTCCGGTCAGCTATATGAGGCGCGCGACCCTCTCAACCCAGACACCTATACCGCTGCGTTGGTCAACTTTACTACCATCATCCAGGGCCACTACCCAGATGCACAGTTCTTCATCACCACAAGTCCGCTCCTGAGCGATGGGTACCCGCTCACTACTGACACGCAGCATACCACGCAGGCCAATAGCATCCAGGCCGCCGTGGCAGAGATTGGGGCAAATGCGCACTTTGTGAACTTCCCCACCCAGGATTCGTCAAATAACAATATTGGATGTGATTATCACCCTTCGGCTGCTACGCACCAGAGCATGGCTGTCATCTTGACTGCGGCTATTGAGGAAGCTGTGCCGTCTATCAAGGCGCGCCGGTCTTGAGGGAGCCGCGTAGCACATTTTTGACTTACCTACGGATTATAGAACTTAGGTGTACATAAGACTTCAATCTAAATTTT